CTGGAAACTTGCCACAGACTGGCAGCCAATGGCTCATAGACTGGCACCAATATGTGGGTTCCTACTTTGAGTAACAATGCAGGAGAGAATTTTAGCAGAGAATTCCCCTCACCAAACTACAGATCCTGTGATTTCCATATGATGATATGTGTGCGTGTCTTTGTGTGTGCATGTGTATTCCTGATGATAAAATGTGCAATAAAATTCATTTGTTGTTGTTAACCTCCCTCCAGTCGATCTTGACCCATGGCAACCCTGTGGATGAGGCATCTCCAAGACCCTCATCTTCCATTGCTCTGCTTAGTTTTGTAATTGTATTTGTAATTTTTAAGTTATGTTTTTATATTTTGTCTGTTTAATTGCATTTTAAGGGGTGGGCTATTGGGAGATGGGATTGTTTGCTTTATCTTGTAAGCCACCTCAGCTGTATTTTACAGAGAGGAGGAATAATAATAATAATAATAATAATAATAATAATAATAATAATATTTAGTTCCTGCAAACTCATACCCACAACCTCCTTACTAGAGTCCATCCATCTAGCATGTGGCCTTCCTCTCTTTCTTCTACTACCTTCTACTGGGAAATGAATACATCTTTATTGAATAAGCCTCCAGACCATTTCAAATAAAAATATAAAATACATATACCTATACATATATATAAAAAATCATTTAAAAAAGTATGTAGTTTATATTTGAACCTGGTTCAGCCCTCTTATAATTTGCACAACAGTCTATCTGAGGCCCTTATCTACTTCTTGCTTCCGTAAAACAGCTGCTTTCACTGAAAACAGAGGAACCCTCAGAGTTACGTAAGGCTCTACTTTTTGCAAAAGCAGAGACGTCTTGCTTTCATCATCCCTTTCCCTCAAATTTCTGAGGATGGGAGCCAGAGATTGCTCTCTAATACCATTATATAATTGACAATGCAGCAGATAATGTGCAAGATTTTCAACATTAGGTGACCCACATATACAGAGTCTATCAAGAAAAGGGATACCCTGGTATCTTCCCTGGATTTACTACCTTCTATCTTTCCTGGCGTTATTGTTTTTTCCCAATGAATTGTGCCTTCTCATGATGTGAGCAAAGTACGACAACCTTGTCACCCACCTTGGCTTCCAGGGAGATTTTTGGCTCAACCTCTTCTAAAATGCACATGGCTCAACCTCTTCTAAAATGCACCTTTTTTGACCACTGTTTTGGAATTTGGACTAGATTGTGAAACCGATCCAGAGATCACAACCCACCAAGGCCATTCTGGTGTACCAGAATTAGTTTATTCCAGTCTTTTGCCAGAACGTTTTGGATGAAAACTCGAGTGGTTTCCATCACCGCTGCCAACTCGCTTTTGCTTGGGCCAAATCTCATGAAACAAAGAAGCGTTTCAGAGGACTTTGCATTCCAGTGAGCCCCCAAAATATGCAGATATTGTAATTCAGATGGTGACTTCGATTGCTGTTCTGGCAAGACAAAATGCAGGCGACCCAAGCTGAAAGTGTTTGATTGAAATCAATGTCAAGATGCCATGTTAATCTGGATCTCCCTTGTTACTGATGGGATTTGAACTTGTTCATTTTAAAAGCTGTAGGAGCTCTGATGAGGTTTTGTAATGAGATATTTTCTACACTCCAGATTCCCAAAGGGATGTCAAAGACAGAAATATATTAAAGAGGCTCTGTTCCATAATAAAGAGAGCTTCTGTATATCATCATACCAGGTCCATGCATTCTTTCTCAGTAATTTGGGAGTGTTGATACTGATCTGTTGTTGTTGTTCTGTGCCATCAGGTCCATTTCAGTTTAGGATATCCCTTGTTGTTATGTGCCTTCAAGTCATTTTCGACTTACGGTGACCCTAAAGCAAACCTATCACAGGGTTTTCTCAGCAAGCTTCTTCCACGGGGGTTTGCCATTGCCATCCTCTGAGGCTGAGAGCATGTGACTTGCCTAAGGTCACCCAGTGGATTTCCATGGCTGAGTCAGGATTTGAACCCTGGTCTCCAGAATCACAGTCCAACACTCAAACCACTACGCCATGCCGGCTCTCATAGAACAACCCTATCCTAAGGTTTTCTTGTCCGCTTTTCTTCCAAGGAGGCTTGCCCTTAACTTCTAGGGCTGAAAGAGGGTGAGTTGCCCAATGGGTTTCCATGGCTGGGCCATAATTTGAACCCAGGTTTCCTGGACTTCTTGTCCAGTATTGAAACTACTACATGATTACCATATGAAGGGGTGACCCAACTGACCCACAGCAAAGTCAAGTGCCTCTGTTTTCAATTACAGTCCATTTCAGGGAGGAAATATCAGGATGTAACACCGGATCCTAAGACAGACTATAGCGAAGTTCTGAACTAACTGGGCTGGAAGGAAAGTTTTTTGGAGATTGCAGATCTAAACACACAACACATCTGGTTCCTGGTGCATCCACCCACATTCTCCACCCAATCCCAACAACATTGTGATGGTGTTAGGTCACTGTCTCTGTTGGCCTTATCTGTACAGCAGGTCAAAGAGACAGACATAACAGCTCTCAAACATGACCATTTGATTTTTCTGGAAATGAGAGCAACCAGGCCAAAATGTCTGGGGCTGTTCCTTTGCAGAGCTTTCGGTTATTGCCAGGCAAGAGTTTATTATGTGTTTTTATTTGCTAAAAAAAAAACCCCAAACAAGATGTTATTATTAAGAAATGAATGCACCAGATGTGCATGTGTGTTGTGTGGCTTCAAGTTATTTCCGGTTTATGGCGACCCTAAGGCCAACTTATCATGGGGTTTTTCTTGGAAAGATTTGTTCAGAGGAGCTTTGCATCATCTAGAGACCCAGAACGCCACCTGGATTTTAAGGTGGGTTTTGGGGAGACGGAGCATAACCACAACAGCATAACTACACATACGATGCAAACTTTAGCCATCAGCTTTGATACTGATATTGATATTAGCTTTGGAGCCAAACAACATAACCTGTTGCTTTTGCAGCAAGGACACAAGAGGGAGAGAAAAGCAAAACAAGAAGACAGCAAAATGCATTAAAGACTAGTATTGTTTACAGTTTTCTGCTTAACTTTGCTTCTCGGATCTGAAAATAAAATCTTTTAAAAAAAACCCAAAGAACCATTAAAATCCAATTATAATAGGTATATATATATATGTGTATAAAACCCCATTAAATAAATTATCTTACTGAAAAAACAGGGCTAATTTACAACCATTAAAACCACTTAAAATACAACATTGAGGATAAAAGTATGGCAACCCACCAACTCCTTAAAGACCTTCCAGCAGCAGATAGTTTATAATCAAAAGCCTGCTCCAACCATCATTTTTGCAAAGGGCTTTTGGAAGAAGGTGAAAGGATGTCCTTTGGGCACTGAAACAAGTAGGATGGATCCATCCCTTGAATTGCCACTGGCCAAAATGATGGGGTGATCAAGAGAAATGTGGGGTGGGAGGCTTCCTAACCAGTGGAGACCAGTAGATTTTAATCTGCTCTGTCTTTCAGTCCAAACGACAAGGAGTTCTTTGAGGTGTTGAAACCTAGATAGGTTCTCCACCTAAGATAACACCTTTAAAGTACAGGCAAAAACACAGAGGGGATTTGGAACATGAAAACCACAAGCCACCACTAATGGAACAAAATTTCCACTCATCCACCTACATAGGACCACAGCCTGGGACTTTCCATTGCCCTTTTGCATTTCCTTCCCCTGTACTTTGCATTGCTGGGAGAGGAACACAGATCTCACTTTACCAAAGAGATGCCAACCTTTTCTCTTTCCTCCCAGTTCCTGGAGCTCTAGGCACCAAAAGACCTTGTTACCTGCACAGGTATCAAACTCAATTACATCTCCCTGCCATATCTATGATCAGCAGACACCTCCTGAGAAGCCCAGAAGGGGACAGGGACTTTGTGTTGATGTTGGCTGTCCTAATGTTGGTTGCTCCTTTCTTTCCTTTTAAATGGTTAGTTCAGGGGAGAACAGACAAGATGCAGGGAAATCCATGGGCATCATCCCATCATCAGTGTTTTCCTTGCCATGGATTATCATGGCCAGAAAACAATCATCAACCACTCTGATTTCTCCAATTAGTCTTGGGATGCTGACAAATGATCCAGAGCTCCATTTCTTGTCTTGTTTTTCTTTGATATAATCTTGGGTGTGTGTGTGTGTGCTGTTTATCATTTGGAGGCATCAAAAATCCCTCCGGATTTGGGAGGGATATAAGAACCGGTGGGGTGGCCACAAAATAGCTATGAGAGGCCACATGCAATGCCCTGGTCATCTACTTCCACAAACCTGTTTTAGATTATGTTGCTTTCCACCTTCCTAAACATTACTGTCTTTTCCAAGGAGTTCTAGCATCATCTATTGTGGACATGAGGAACAAGCCAGTAGACATGAAGATGGTCATATGAATGTTATAGGAAGAAGAGTAGGAGATTGTGCGATTCCTAAACAAAACAGCATGTCTGTTGAATGGAATAAAAGCAGCACGCCTCAGGCATTTTAGAGCAACCTCATGTAGCCTTACTTATATATTTTTTTAAAAGCGCTGGTACTCCATGTTTATGTACCCAGTCGCTAAGTAGTGGATATACTATGAAAGACATGAATCTTTACAGATCCTGACATCCCAAGTCTTCTTACATAACCTTAGTCAGTGCCACTACCATTTTCCATTTCATAAATTCTCAGCTCCTGCCTTAGAATTGCTATATGTTTTCAAGGGATGGGAAACCAAGGCCAGGGTCTGAGGAACTATAATGCAGGTCTTGCTTGAATCTTTACTCGTTGCAACCTGCCATGGAAAACAGGAAGATTAGGAAACTTCTTCAACCAGTTGCCTTTGGAAAGGGAAAATAGACAATCATCTTCTCACTCCCTTGCAAAAATAGCTTACCCACATACACAAAGGAACCTCTTTTCCCCATGTGCATCACATTAGACAGCTGTTCCCAATGTGTTCCTTTCAAGACATATTGGTTAATGATGAGAGCCAGCATGACGCAGTGGTCTGAACATTGGACTACAACTTTGGAGATCAGGGTTCGATTCCCTGTTTGGCCATGGAAGCCCACAGGGTGACCTTGAGTGAGTCACACACTCTCAGCCCCAGAAAACACCATGATAGGTTCATCTTAGGGTCACTGTAAGTCATAAATGACCCAAAGACAGCAATAAATGATAGGAACTATAGTCTAGCACCTAATCTTGATTTGTCTCCAGCTGAAAACAGGCTAAAAATGGTGACTGGAAGTGATGGACTGGGAGAAGGCTTCTGTGATACTGGTTACCAAGAGGGAAGTGGGATGAGGCTTCCCTGGCAATGGTTTTGAGTGCCTTCCATATCAATGGGGCAAATAATCCGCTCAAGAGCCTTTAAAGGAACTATCCAAGGTGCTGAACCCTACCCCATAAATAGGTTTCAGTATAAACTATACATTTTAGGTTAAAACTGAGAGTGTATCTGTTGCCTAACTGACATGGGATCTACTAGAGGCAGTAAATGTATTGTGTTTGCCTATGAAGAATCATCCAGCAAACAGAACCAGCTGATATTTGGCTGAAACTTATTAGCGGGTATAATATTGTTGACAATAATGACTTTGGAGCCAAAGGAGGCACGTCCAAGTGTTGATTCTGCAGCAAAGACAGAACAGGAGAGATGGAACAAGGCAAGACAAGAAGACATCTAAATGTCTTACAAGACCAGTCCTGTTTATAATTCTTTGTGTTAAGAAATTATTTGCCTAAGTCTTGATGCACGGCCCTTTTGGACTGTGATTAAAATGTGAAAATAGGATCTTTTTCACAACGTGTAAAAAGCACATCTCTGTTGCCCTTGCTCTTTCCAATAGTCACCTTTAATAAAATAAATCCAGGGAGCTTCCTTTCTTGCAAAATGCCTTTGCTTGCCCCGGGAGCTTAGCAGGAGGAAAGGGCCTGCAGCGAAAACCTCTTTCCCCTTTCAACATTTTGATGTCTGAAGAAAAGCCAGCCACACCGTTCAGCTCCGGCGCGTGGGAGGAAAGTTTCCAGCTGCCTTGCTGAGCCATTGCAAGTATCTGTGGCTCTGTGGGTGACCAACTTGTTGAGAACTACTTGCAAGCAGAGCAAGGATGTCACCTTCCCTGGATGAATGACAGCAGGACTGAATCCAGTAATATCCAAAACCCACCAAACAGTGGTACCTTTATTGGCCAACCAAAATGCACAATATACATATTGCAAGCTTTTGGAGCTCGCCTGGCTTCTTCATCAGGCAAGGTGTTATAAACCATGCAGGAGAGAAAAACTGAGGATGCTAGTCATAGGCCTGAATTTTGCTGTTTTTGTTCTCAGTTCAGTTGGTATGGAGAGGTAACTCTTGCAGGCTGGCCATGTAGCAACTGGGAGATTCTCAAAGTGCAGGAAATTTCACATCCATTTGCAACACAAAAAAAGATACTTCCTTTGCAATCCAATATGTCTCCATCCTTTTGTTAGGCAGAGGACACTGAATTTCTCAAGAAGCCTGCATGCTTTTGCATCAGGAAAACTTTAGGTGGTGTTGAGGTAAAATATGCCAATCTGGTCCCAATTTTTTTTTTTAAAAAGTTTCACTTTTGTTGGAGATAGAAACCTCAAATAGTAAGGTCTCAGTCCACAATCCACTTTCAGTCCCAGGAGTTATGGTGCATCCACACTGCAAAATTATGGAAGTCTGACACTGCTCTATCTTACAGAATCCTGGGATTGGTAGTTTGGTGTAGCACTGGAACTCTCTGACAGAGAAATCTATATGCCTCCTAAATCCAAGGGAAGTGTTATTCTGCATAGGGATTGTGAAGTGTGTGCAGTGGCATATATCTGCATGCGGATATTTATGCTCTGCTCAGGGGATTTTGGATTGAGGCTGTAATGTGCTGAAGCCAAGGCTTACCACCACTAAGGCCAAGGAAGGAGTTGTTACTTTCAGCGAACCACTTACTGGTTTTTCCCCTCCGCCACCCGTTCTCCTTGCCTTACCCCGCTTTTCATTCTTAGCTGTACTATTTGCAAAGATGGTTTGTGACATCCTTGCTTCCGGCATCAACAGCAAAGGCTGGCATTGAAAAATATACATGAATAAAAGGTCAAAACTCTTCCAGGGGGTGAGGAATTAACTTATCTTTTTATTATTATTACTATTTCCCCCCAAAAAAGCATCATTTATGGAAAAAAGCAAATTAACCTTTCAGGACTTGAAGAATTCATTCTGACAAAAGCTCAGCCCAGAAACAAAGAGGCTTCAGCCTTATCATCGTATCCAAAAATGCTTCTCTAGGGCACCTCTGTGACCGTTCCAATGGACACAAGTGATATCAGGTCACTTCGCTGCTTGGCCTTGGAGAACCAAAGGCGAGAATGCCAGAGGCAAGTCCCATTATATACAATGGCAGAATTAAATGCCAAAATGGCAACATCAAGGCTTGCTTTTGGGAATATATATATATATATATATATATATATATATATA